TAACAGTTACATCGAAACATGATGGACATGTTAAGACCGCGTAAAGTGTCAAAATGATTGCTTATAATGTTCGCGTCTCTCCGTCGTTTGTCTGTTTGGTTTATTAAGGTGTTGTGAGATTGTTTACGTTGTGGGTGAGTGAAGTTAAACCTCTCTCTCAGCGTTGATCTTCGTGTTTGTCACATTAAAACCTCCCGACACATTGGAGCTAACGGTAGTTTGATTGAGCGGTAAACTCATACTTCATTTAGAGAATATATTTGTTAGCAGTCAAACGCAAAACTTGTGGAGACGGAAAAGTTGGTATAACGTTACTTGACGTTAACGCAACCTCACCAGGGGGGTAACGTTAGCTGTAGGCGGTGTTAGCTAGCTATCGTGAGTAACATTTAACTTTAAAAATATTAAACTCAGCAGTGAACTGTGGTGAATTTCACATTAATGTGGCAGCTTATTACGCATCCACATCCTTAATAAGGTTTTCTAGTTGTTACCGTGAGTTCAACGGGGCTTCTGGCTCGTTAATGTTAATGTTACTGTTTAGCTTTGTTGTCTTCTCCGACCTTACATAAGACTCTGAGTGCTTGGTTAAACATCTGCAGCCACTTGGCTCTTGTTTGGTTATATTCTCCTTCAGCTCAGTTGTTTTCCATCGCTCCCAAACCAGTAAGCTCTCTGTTGGCAGGTTTATAGTACACGTAGCAATTTTCAGGATGGCTGGTTTGTTGCCCCCTCCCCCTTTCACAGTTTGACCACTGTGGTCGATATTTCCGTACTGGTTTCACATCATCTATACTGGGAAACAAGACACGGTGCAGAATGATATACTTATCATTATATATATATATATATATATATATATAAAATATATATATATATGTATATATTTTGTGCAACGTTGAGCCTTTAAAGCTGCAGGAGCACTAACTTCACAGCAACAATACAAACTGTAATAATAATGATTTGTTGTTAACAGGTGCAGCTGTTGGTGCGTCCTGGAGCCGCAATGTTGAACCCGGCCAATGGAGACCCGAGCCACGTTGTTGTGAATTATGTTGAGGAGTATTTGGACCTGGTGGAGTCACTACCTTTTGATTTGCAGAGGAGTGTGTCCCTCATGAAGGAAATTGATGCCAAGTATCAAGGTAAAAAAAAAAAAAAGCTGTACAGTGCAGATCTGCTCTTTCAAGTCTTTCTAAAGAGGTTACCAAAATCATATTGTAACATACATAACATTAATGGATTTACATTACAGATACCGTAACTGAGAATGTCATACATTCAGAAATGTATATGTTGCTGCTGTTTGTTTTAGTATGATATTGGGTAAACAGGAATTCTACAGTTCTTCTACAGTACTTTAGAGAGAGCGTGTACAGTGGTCAACAGGTAATACAGCAATATTATCTTTGTCTTGAATGTGCATTGCAGGTGAGCATGCAATTCAGCAAATATGGAGAGTAGACTTACATTTATAAATGAATGTATATCTATATCTGAAATAAAAAAAACTGCACTCCTGTATCATCTATATTATTTCCTGTTTATTTTTTATTAATCCAGGTAAATTAGCAGGTACCTACCGAGTGTACAAACCGAACACTTAACAAATTACATAGTACATTGCAGACATGTAGCTATAATGTACAGTTACACACTACATTGTAGCTGCATGTCTGAACCCACCGGCTCTTAACCTCTCTCACTAGATCGAGCCTCACTGCAACCACTGTGCTCTCGCAGCAGTTTCATTACCATCCCCCAAAAGTAGTCAGTCTCGCCTCCTGTATTAGCCATGTGGCATGCTTGATCAACAGTTTGTTAACCAGAGACTAAACCGACAGATCGGTCTCCAGGTGTTTCATAACCTTTTTAAACTTCACAAATATTATAATGCAGTAGTAAGAAGACAACATTTTATTTATTTGATTTACTCGCGCCGAGCCAGCATATGTGTATGGAAAAGAGCTAATAATGGACAGTCAAGAAAATTATGTACTATGATAAGTAATAATTTTCTTCTGTGTACTTTTAGAAAATATGTCTATTTTCATTATTCTTATTCCTGCTTCATTTTTTTCCCCTCTCCATTTCTTCTCTGGCAGATGTTCTGAAGGAGCTTGATGATGCGTATGAACGGTATCGCCGGGAAGCTGACTCACTTCAGAGGAGAAAGCTTCAGTTATCCATTCAGAGGGCGCTGATTCGCAGTCAAGAGCTCGGAGATGAGAAGATCCAGATTGCTGGTCAAATGGTACGTAACACACACACACCATGCAGCTGCTCCATGGCAAACTTCCAGGTGTGAGCTTGTGTAACTGTGAGCACAGAGAAATGCTTCCCTGGAACATGTGTGCTCAGAAAATCTACCCCGAGTAAATAAACAGGAAAAAAGGTTTTATGAGTCCGCTAAAAGGCCCTTTTGTATTGGAGTGTATTAGGGTTTACCATTTTCCATTTTCAACTTCTTTTCACATAGAAAATCTTCAAAACATATGGTTTATCCAAGGCAGGCCATGACCTAATTGTTGTCCACATGTACTCCAAACGACAGCAGGTAGAGCTTTACACTAATATATGAACTTTCTTTGTTTCAGGTGGAGTTGGTTGAGAACCGAACGCGACAAATAGACTGGCACTCTGAACTTCTCCTCTCCTCTCAAGAAGTCCCAGAGAGCCATGTTCCCACAACAACGTGCATGACAACCACTGCAGCGTCCATGATGTCGTCATCCTCATCCGCCACCATCACTCCAGGCAAAACCAGCCACCATGACAAGAAGCGCGATGAGGTTACCCCAGGCTCAGGTGGCGGGGACAAAGCTGGAGGGAAACGCTCAAGACGTCAGAAAAATGGCGAAAATCGGGAAAGTTACGGGGGTCTGGACCACGCGGAAGAAGTGGGTCTGGGGGCATCCCGGGAAAAGAGAGCCAAAACATCTTCAAAGAAGAAGAAAAGGTCAAAAGCGAAGAGTGAAAGAGAAGTGTCCCCCCCAGACCTGCCCATCGATCCAGACGAGCCAACATACTGCCTGTGTGAGCAGGTGTCCTACGGCGAGATGATCGGCTGCGACAACGACGAATGCCCCATTGAGTGGTTTCATTTCTCCTGTGTCGGGCTCCATCATAAGCCCAAGGGGAAGTGGTACTGCCCCAAGTGTAGAGGTGAGAATGAGAAGACCATGGACAAGGCCTTAGAGAGGGCCAAGAAGGAGAGGGCATACAACAGGTAGCTCGCTCTGTCCGGCCCAATGAACACTGTTGAGTAAATATGTATTTTTATGTCACGCCCTTGTTTCCATTTACTGTCAATGCTGTTTTAAAAAGTAAAAAAAATGATGAGAGGGAACTTGTAAATAGTTATTTTTATAACTGCTGCATAGCTGAGAAACAAGATAGCTCCCTCCTGGTTAGGATCATTTGTAAAGAATGGATTTAGTACAATACAACCTGCATGTAACCAGCTGTCATGCACTTCCCCAGTTGTTTTCATCATGCATGCACACACCTACTCCATCACATATGCTCAATAATAAATAAAACCTTTCTAAACAAAGAAGAATTTTATGTTTATGACATCATTAAGGGTCGAGTGAAGAATCAGTGCACAGACGCACACTTGCTGGTGAACAAAGTGGTGAATAAAGCAGCTGTAGAGCCAGATATTTGTCTGGTAGAGACCAAAAACAGCGTGAGTGTGAGTGAATATTAGACTTAAATTCATCAAGTGGTCAGAAACACAACTTCAAATTAATGATAATGTTGCTCTGAATCTGCTAGATATGAAAGTAAGCAACTGTTTAACAAGTTAAAAGTGTTAGTTACTGCAGGTTTAAAGGTTGGATTTATTCATGCATTTTTTAATACAACACTTAATGGTTATTGAAAGGTGATTGGTCATTGCCTGTCAGTACTGGCCAGGAATGTATGTGATGTGGGGACAAAATCCAAAGTCCATGTTCTATGTTCTGACTTGTAAAGTTAAGTAAAAGCTAATATGAGGCTCCAGCAGTCTAAGTTACACAATACAATTAATTACCTTACAAGCTGTATTTATGGTATTTCAGTGGATACTTTTTGCTTGCTCAGCCGCAGCAGAGAGACCAACATGAGGACATTTTGTACTAAAAGGACTGTAACTTAGACTCACCTTTGAGTGTGAGTATTGTATTAACGTACAATTGAAAATGTGAACTACAATATGGAGTATAACATTTCACACACTGTTCAAATAAAATGGTGTAAATATAGTGCACTATATAGTAAACACATATTTCAGACAACTGAGTCTATATTCCTCTGAATTACTGAATACAAGCGGAAACAAACATTAAAGATTCACATCTTAAACTGCTCTAATAGATGCAAAATAATTAAAATAATCATTGGGACAGATAAATTATCAGCCAATAATGGAAAATTTCCATTTTTAGAAGTTATCGTTATAATAAAATTACAGCCGATAAATTATTGGTTGATATTAATAATAATTTATCATTAATTCTTATACAAAACAATTCATAGCTTTAACCTTACTAGAAAAAATAAACATTTGAAGAGTCAGAACTGGAGTTTGTTGTTGATAGTAGAGATGTCAGATAGATTTGATCAGAGCTGCGGAATATTAAATCAACTGTCTGCTAAACTTTCGTACTCTGAGGTGTGTAAAAACTACAGATTATAAATGTGACATTGGTTATTTTATCAGTATTGGCCATGACAAGCAGATAATTATTATTACTGGCTTATTATGATCATGTTGGTTTGGACACCAACTCACCTAGTCATTTGATGATAAGCAAGGATTTAACTCCCATGTTATTTAGTGCCGTTATTAAATGGATAGATGGATTATATTCATATACAAAGCCATGGTTTGCGTCATGGCAGTGCCTCAGATTGATTTCTGGGTCTTCTTAACATATAAATCTCATACAAACTCAGTCAAAGCAAGAAAAGTAATTACATCAAATACAAATAAAACGCTTCTCACATGAGGATGAATTTACCTTTTTTTTTTATTTACAAGTGCTGAAAAAATGACATGGGGGACAACCAGTGCAAAATCTGTACATAAATTCAGTTGCAGGTTTCTTATATACATGAGTACTGAACAGGAACGTGAATACACTCTTTCTGTCATGCATGTAACAGAGTTCACAACACAGCAAAAGACTTGGTGTAAAGATGTCTGATTTAGTTGTAGTCCGTGATGCTCAGGCTGCTCATTCTCCCAAGGAAAGGTAGGATGATCACATTGGACCCCAGACAAACTGCCTTGTGAAAACAAACTGACAGAAAAGATGAGGAGCACAACAGAATAGGACCCATGATTTGATTAATACACCCTCCAAGACATCTAACATAATTAGTCATGGGGTGTTATTACAGCAAGTTAGAACACACCAGAAATTTGGGGATAATGGCCCACAAGTCCATACTGACAAAACATCAAGGCAAGATTCAGCACAGTTCCCCTGATGGACTGGAAAAGGGGGATAGAATAGAAAAAATAAATCCCTCTTGGTGGGCAGAAAAAACAAATGTTTTATAACGGGAGGTTGGAGGTAAAGTGCATAAAAGCTTAAAATCAAAAAGGTGGGGGGGGGCCCAAAAATTAAGAGGTACTCCACTAAAACTTGCAGCACACACAGCTTAACAATGGAGAGAGCAGCTATCACGATTGTCAGGTCAACTGTCTCTCCAGCTTTGTTCTACAATGGCAGACACACGTTTCTCGTACTCCCGCTTGTTCTCCTGGTACAGCTGAGCTGCCTGGCTGTTGGCTGGACTGTTGGGGTTTGGTTCATCAAGCAGGGACTGGGGAGAGGAAGATAAACGAGGAAGGTGAGAATGTTTCATCAATCCATTCATCTGCATCTTAGTTACACAGCTGCACATGTTGGCATTTGTTTGTTAAACTGGGCTTTAGTTTTGTTTTGTAGTAAATTATTTTTACCACTGAATAGTATATGGAACAACCAATAAATATAAGTAAATATATTTATTTAACAGTTGATTAATCAAGATAATAATCAAAAAAATTAACGAATACTGAAAATTATTAGTTGTAGACCTTAGCAGTAAATTCATAATTGCCTTTTCCTAGTGTATTACTTTATCAGTCAGTGATTTTTTTTTTTGTCTAACAATAGAAAATTGTATAGCAATTTTAGTCAAAATGCCAAATATATCATGGTTACAGCTTCTCAGAGTTGCAGATAGGGTTTGTTTTCTCTGTGTGATGTCACTGTAAGATAAGGTGTGCCTGCATTTACAACATCTATTATTGTATTGTTGTTTACTATTTACCTGGATAGATGTAAGAATAGAGGAGACATCATAAGTGGGACTCCAACGATTCTGTAGGATGTCCAAACATATACTGCCATCTGCATAGACTGTAGATAAAAACACAATTATACACTACCCACCTATATCATCATTGTACCATGCTAGGTGATAAGACAATATTCCTACCATTTGGATGAAACATCTTTGACACAAATCGTACTGTGGGGGGTTTGTTGGGGTATTCTTCTGTGAACTCTACAATGAGTTTAAATGTACCTGAAACAAAGACGACAATACACAAAAAATGTATTTATGAGCCATGAAACCTGATTGTGTGTGGAGGAATGTTTTAAGGCAGAAAAAATGTGCTGGAGCAGTGACTTCTAACGTTGTATACTACAGGTTTAACAACTGTAGAAAAACTCCTCAGGAATAATCTTCAAAGGTGGAAATGAAAAACATGACTTTAAATAGGACAGTGGCTGTTGAAATACTTTCTTCATTTGTGACATTTTCTTGATTATAAGGTAAGCAGACAGTGCGTTTCATATTATTTAAATTACATAGTGAGTTCTGTATGATTCTCCTGAATTAGATCTTGGTTGAAGTATCACAGTAATACAAGTAGAAAAACATAATTTTAGTGAGTTGTTTAGCAACTGGCATCTACATAGTAATTTTCAAAGCAGAGGGTTTGGATGTGGTGAAGTTACTATGTTATAATGTGCCTTACTACACAAAACAGTAAATGATCACAGTGAGAAACTTACCATCCTCAAAGGGAGTTCCTTCAGGGCTGTGAGGTTCAAAGGGAAAAAAATGTTCATTCATTTTGCATTTCACAGACAAAATTACAAGATATGCATTTGGGAAACATGTATGTCCATATTAAGGCTGTGCATCAATATCTTACCCAAATATGACTGCATTCCACACCATGATGTTGTTTTCAGATGGAGCACCACTAACCCCAGCTGGAGGGTCCTCTTGTAGCCTTCATAACAAAAACAAAAGGAGAATGTTATATCAAGACCTCTAAAATATACTTCACTAACAGGAAGTTACATTTATTCTGCCAGACAACAGTAAGGTGACACAACCATATTTAATATTTCAAATAAACATAAACCTACCAACTGATGTGGCAGGTACAGCAGACTCTTTGCTAGAGTAAGCAGACTCAATGACCACATTAAAAAATTACTCTAATTATTTCCCACCCCGGTTGTGCCACATGTAACCCTTTTAGTTTTCACAAAATGCAAACATTGAACAAATATCTCTCTCTCTCTCTCTCTTATATATATATATATATATAGTAGATAGATAGATAGATATCACAATGGCAACTATGCAACTGTCTCTGCAAATAAACCAAGTCAGTGCCATATATCATGTAAATATTGGACATTGTAGTTTCTTATTAAGTACTACGTATTCTCAAAAACCTTCAGTAATCATCTCACCATCATTTAACAGCCAACGTTTCAGGGCTTCCGGTGTAGCCAGCAGATATCTGGCCAAGACTAGCTCTTTTGTTTGCCGCTCATTATTTATAGTCCAATAAGCAACTTTAGACGCAAGACTGGAGCTGGAGTTGAGAGACGACATATCAGCTATTCTCTATAAACAGACACATCTGAATGCAGATAAATCTACAAAAGGTGTTTACCTGCTTGCAAACATGATTGGTCAATACTACTCTGGCTACAAAAGGAAACCAGAACCAGAACTTCAGATACCAAAATCTTGTCCATTGCCTCCAGATTCTGCACTCATGTGAAGATGTGGTTTATAGAGATTACAGACACTGACATTGTGGCAGCTTGAAGTTTTAATAAAGTGGTTTGTCTCAGTTTATGATTAACCTTACCCTAAAATCAACATCTCACTGGTATTAAAGTAAGAGAAATTAGGCTTCTGGGCATTATATAGATAAAATTTGTTTATTAGAATCCCCATTAGCTGTAGATGAAACAGCAGCTATTGTTCTGAGGTCCACACAATTTCTTTTTATCAATATCATGGGTCATATTGACCCAAGCAAAACAAGAACATTGTAGTAAAAGGTTAATACTACAATGTTAATCTCTTGCACCTCTTTCAACAACCCTTAGGACACACATCTAACTAATTCTACTGCTGTCAGTAACAGAATCATTACTGGATAATAAAGGTTTCTTTGTATCTTACTCAGACACTTATCACAACTTCATTTCCTTTGGGAACCCTACAATCACCAGGATAATTTAAATTGGCATATAGAGGGATTTATTTACTCACTTTGGCACATTGTACAGCTTGTTCTTGGGTTCAAAAAACAAAGTGTTCTTCACTGTTAGTGACTTTAGAAAATGCAGCCCGAGTCTACATTGTTGCTTCCGCTATGGTTTAATGCTGATCTACTCACGTTCAACATATATTCATATTCCTCTGGGACAATAGTTCGTGCTGTTTGATCTCGATCCATTAAAAAAATAACACCTAACACCAACCAAACTTTGATTAAGTAAATAGTTTTATAAGACCCGTATGGTTTCAACACAGCTAACGTTAACGTTGGTGAGCAGCGTGTTAATGTTAAAGAGACTAGCTTCACTGACGGTGGACACGTTGTATTCAATATGTTTTGCCCAGTGGTAAAATGGTCAGATCACTAGTCACTTGCCACGGACATTTAAATGTAAGCTGGTTTAAAGAGTTATCTATCAGCCGTAAACTGTGACAGCAACCCGAGTCGACTACCGCTAACCCGTTAGCATGTATCATCTAGCACTGTTAGCTTCTAGCTACGGTCGAAGCACTTCTACAATTTTGACGTTATTTCACTTAAATGTTTCAGGTTCGTAACAACTTGAGATGAATTACACCGTTTTTGCGTTACATTCGTATTTTACAGTGGGTGTTGGTGAATTAATAGGTTTATATTTAACATAATGATCAGCTATGCCAAGCTAACGAAAGCTAGGCTAATGTTAGCTGTTTTTGACAAATCATAGCTAACTAACATTATCGACATCGGCACAATTTCTGACCATCAACTTACCGTTTAAAATCTCTCATAAGTCTCCTTCTAGCCGGGGTTGACATGGCTTAACTTGTGTTGCGCGTAGTGACAATACTGATACGTTAACTGGAGCTTATTTTATAAAAACCTTATATTGTATTTAATGGTTATTTGACTCCCTTCCCGGGGCAGCCCGTCTCTCTCGATAATCCGGGCTCTCTGGTTAGCCCAGCTAGGTTTACCGGACGATACCACTTCATGGAAGGAGTGGGAGACAACTTCAAGTGCCAAGTTAAACAAACTTTTCTGGCAATGTAACATCAATACAGGCATCCGATGCCTTTATTGAATAAGTTTTGGTAATTACTTCATTCTATATGCCAAATTACACGTATCTACTACGTTGTTTTATTTAACAGCATTTGTTTTTCTCCCCCGCTCTCATTGAGATCGTCTGCCGTTACGGGGCGTGGTCACAATGACGCGGTGTTTGTGCAGCACAGCTATGATGAAGGTCGCTCCCTGTGGCAGGTGACTGTTGGCAGGGTACACCACCATAGGTGTGCCCCTACATGTGAGGCTGGGGGGGGTAGTCTGCTCTCTTTAGATTAGTATTGTGGATAAAACCTTAAATGCACATTAGTTCCAACAAAAAATAGCACTAGTAATTTGAAAATATCTTGAATACCACATTTGCAACCAACATGTAGATAATGTCTTATTGACTAACACGGCATCTCTGCCAGGATAAGGGTTTATTTCACAGGTTACCCATACATGTGAAGCACCCAATAAAATGTTTCAAGAATGACAGAACTTTAAACTTTTGCAAAACTTTTTAATTATTGAGTAACATCAGATGTACTTGCATTGTTTTTTATGAACAGGGAGGGATCGCCCCACCTCTAGTTGAGACAGAAACAAAATTTAAGTATTGGCAGTGTTGCAATACAGATGCAAACTTTAGTGTATATCGTAACAGCTATTTACAGCTTAATCAAACTTGAACAATAACAAACACTTTTCTCTTTAACATCAAACAAAAATCCACTTCTTTATCAACTTTAACAGTTACAAATGTCAACCCATACACATCAATGGGCTCGCCCTTTCCAACAAGAAATTATAATTTCAATGAATAACCACTCAATGGCTTTAAGGCAAATTAATGCATGTTAGGCTTATAAGAGATTCAGACAAAAAAGGACGGTTTGTCAACTAGAACTTTAGTACTTTAGGATCCATGATAAAGAAGCATGGTGCTGAAGAAGGCATGGTCATACAACTGCTCTGCTTTCACAGACTTCTGGTGCTCCACTTGGCTGCCTGCAGTGCTGTTGCTCTCAGGTGAGTCACTGTAGACGAGCTGGCCATGGAGGATTCCTGCCGCTGGGTCACACCCAAATGGAAGCTGTGGTTGATCGTGAACACTTGAGAAAAAATTCTCACAGTGTCTTTCACCTGCCACTGGAAATGAGACGAATAGTCAAAGGGCATACACATAATTCATTTGTGACCACATTCCTGCTTCCATAAACATAAGAGATTTTGTTTTGCACAACTATTGTAAATGGGGCTAGAGAAGAAGTTTAAAAGCCATTATATGGCTGCATTTCAGCAATCATTACTCAAAAAGTTGATCAATACATTGCAAAATATATTCTAGAGCCTTGTGTAATCCCACAAGTTAGACCTGAGACCTTGTTTTAAATAGGTCACATCCTGATCTGCGGCTGCTTTGACATACAGTTAGTGCTGTATGACACAGTGACCTAGTTCTGTTTCCACAGTGGTATTTAGGCTATTGCGTCAAGTCAAGAAATTTTAAATCTTCCTGACGTGTTGGCATGCCATAATCCCAAACCCAACATAACGAGCAGATGTGATTTAGAGAAGTTTAGCCGAGTGAAATTAGGTTTGTAACCCTTACTTTGCTTTATTATGAAAATTATTACACTTTTTTTCACAAGCCAGTAAAAATGCTTATAAGGGCAGGACTTAAGAGATGCATGAGAATACATCAAGAAAACAAAAGTCCACCACAATCACATTTATAAAATTTATCAACATTTAATGATTTCACACAATCAGATACAAAGCTAAACCTGCTCATTACTAAGCATTGGAAGTTTGAAACTGATACACTCAAACCTTCTGGCGTGGAAAATAAAATAAGCAGACACCACCTGCAACATGAAATAGTACTACAAAATACAGAAAAAATGAATTAATTTCCCTTACCAGTATCTATAAAAGTTTAAAATAACATACATTGAGTAATTGTTCAGCTATTAAATAAAGCTCAAGAAATAAGGCTTTTTGCAAATCCATGCAAACTGTCTTGAGCACTACTGTTTATTCATAACTACTGATTGCAAAATGGCCAATTACCAAATGTAAAAAAAATCAGACTGGGTATTATTATATAACATACATATGTGCAAGCCCTGCTACTTGCCTAAAAACTTTGCTAACAGGAACAATAAACATTCACCATATTTAAGAATCAAATAAGCACACAGCAAAAATGAACGCAAAAGGAAAAAAAAGCTGAGGAATAACCAAATTTCAAGCCCATGGACCACTATGTCTTAGTACATGACATCTACAAACTACAAAAAAGCTGCACAGTGAGTTATTTATACTTTACGAGCTACATTCATGTTGGGATATGCTTTGGCATAAAGTTATTCTTGAATACAAAACAGCGTCAGCTAATATGTGGTAGCATTTAACCTCAGGAGACATTTCCTCAGTGTGTATTAAAAGATTTAGAAGTGTCATCATCAATCAAGCATTATTTAAAATTAAAGAATTTTTGATTTAACTCATTAAACTCAACTGGGGAGGAAACATATGCCCAAAGAAAACCATCCAATCACCATTTAAATATTACATTTCATGTGTATACTAATCGCACTTATTTTATCCATATCTCTTAATAGAATTAGAAAGAAACTTTTTCTAACCTGTTTGGGATGAGCAATTAACAACTTTAGCCATTCCATACTGAAATTCACCAACGTTCCCAGCACAAGGCCAACACTTAACATCTTCAGGTGATCAACAGAGTTGCCCATAATCCAATTATGCAACAATGCATAATTTGACAAGCAATAATTAAGACATTAAGATTGAAACGTGAACATTCAGCCAATATGACCTACATTTGCACTGGTGACTGCACCATGTCAGGGGAATGCCAATCATTTTGTGTCATCTAGGATGTCGCTGTATTATTGTGCAAAACAAAACTCCTTCCTATAAAACATAAAAAATGAAGGACTACACAATGATCTGTATCTGTATAACTGGACGGATGCATTAAATAGAACTGTATAACAAAGAAATCTGAATAATTTTATCCATCCAAGTATAATAAGGTACATGGAAAAGAAAATACAGCACACACACACACTGCTACTCATCTTTCAAATGTGGCTCACCACCAAATCAAAACAGATGTATTCCTTTATGCATGTATTATGCAAAAAAACATAGCCTGACGATACCAAAAAGATATACTGCACAAATTGTAACATTAGTGTGTGCCACTACACACACAAGCCCTCTATAAGTAGGCATAAGAGTTGGTGCAACGACAAGGGGTCTGCATTGACGCCACAGTGATGACCTCCAGCTCTTTAGTTGCAGGGCTCGACCTGTCCCGTGCCCCCTGGTCCTCACACTGATCCATGAGCCCCGGCCCTTGTGGTGGTGCAAACCCATTCAGCCCAAATGCAAAGGGTCCTGGCCCACCTGAGGTTACGGTCGCTGCCAACTCCATGTTCATGCTTTCCATCTGGGCCTCGCCAGCACCACCCAGTGGCCCATTCCCATTCAGCAATTCTGGTGGCATGCCCAGACCTAAGAGAAAGAGATGCGCACAAAAGAAAAAAAAAAGAACTTGACACTACGCTATGATATAAAGCTCAAGTTGAATCTCCTGCTAATTCTGCATCTATGTCAAAGGCATTTTAAGAAATTAACATTACACCAGAGTATTGTGAAAATACATTTTCACATTTGTTTCCTGTGGCTAAATTAAGAATCTCCCCTACTGAGTTATTTTAAAAAATGATTTACAGTCAAAGCTCCGAAAATCCCATTCAGGGAAAGTTTTTATCATCCATAACCATAGTGCTGAACCCACTTACGTTCTTTAATCTCACTCACACACACACACACACACACGTCCGGTCAGTGCTCAACAATTCTGTGTATTTGTATTTGAAAATAAAACCCGTCAACTATAAAAGAAAACAGCCGAACATGATGGTGTATCCACAATGTCTTCACCTGTAGCTGTCATTTGTTTGCGCCTACAGCTAGCGACCCTAAACAAGCTAAAGTTAAAGTAAACAGCGCTCACTTAAAAACGGTTTCGTGATTCATTCACCGGTTGGAACCTGGACAAATTTATACTGCACTTTAACCGTCTCACAATATATTGTTATATCCCTACCAATAGATGTTCAAGCTGGAGCATACTGATGCTATGTTTACTTTCAAAGAAACCTGGAAAAAATGTAAATTTAAAAGTAACTAAAACTAGATTTGATCACCTACCGTTAGGTCTAGCCTTTTTCACTGGATTTGCTTCCATGCCATCAAACGACCTCTTTCTGTTGGGCACGCCGTTCGAGAAGCTGCGACCCTGGATAGTGGGGTGAGCGGGGGCCCCATTCTGGGTCATGCCATTCAGAAAAGCCCCATTATGGGACTGAGCCATGTTTTGCTGGAAGTTCTGGGCATTGGAGAGAATCTCAGCACACTCCTGGAATCCCTGGGCGTGGGCCAGGTCAGCAGCAGTCAGCCCACTGGCATTCCTCATACTGCACAACGGGAAGGAGGAGTGTTAGAGACACTCACTGTACGTTTGATTTACACAAATAAAAAAACAAACAAAACAAGACACGCCCAAGCGCGCGCACACATACAGACTCATTAAGCAAGTATTCACACACACAGACAGACACACAGATGTATAGAAATAGCCTGTGCTGCTCTACTCTCTCACATCCTCTTCGTCATCCTCATGAGAGATGACGACTGATCCTTTTGGATCATTGGCATCTTCCATAGAACTTAAATCTTCAGAGTTTCCAAATAATTAAGGAAACATGTCTGCTGCAAAAGGACATGATTAAGACAATTGAAGGTATGCACCAGTTTTTTTTTGTTTTTTTAAAATGATGATTCAGATATATCAAATGATCCACTGAATCCAAGAGATAATTTATGTAGGTGATGTAAAGAACTTTGTCTCATCTGCAGAACAAATGTGACATCAAGGAGGACTTTGTAAAAAAGTTGAAAGGCTGCCTTCATCTTCCACCGGTGATACTGCTCAAGGATTTCTGCAATGCTGCATCCAAATTCCAGCCAATGACGTAGCCATGTTGCAAGTTTCAGCTGCAAAAAGAAAACCTGGAGTGGTGCACGTGTCCACATGAATGCACACTGTACTGGGTGGGTGTGTGAAGTGGAAGGCTTAAATGGAAAACAGTAGATAGCAGATTGTTGAACTCTTCAGAGACAAGTACGAGATCCATAAGTGCATCATCCAAAGGAGGCCAGGATGTGACAAAGTTGTATCTTCAGAGTGAACTCTATGGTTATGAAGGAGAATGAAAACAAGGACAAACTGCAACCTTCAACCATCAGGAATCCAGACATCTTCTCTTGAGAAGGTGAAGCTATAAAGAAGACCTAGTCTTTATCTTGTTTCAAGAAAGATGCACAAGAGAATGAAGAGAATGAAAAATAAGAAACACCTTTACTACTAGAAGATGCATTTGTGCAACCTTTCATAACTCCAAACAGAGTATTTGCACACTTTGTACAGTTGTCTTAATCATATCCAGTTGCAGCAGGAGTAACGTGATTTTCTGTATGCAATAATGAATGAGCAAACAGAGCTGTGGCACAGGTTTTTAATCTTCGCACTTGCACTTGAGTGTGGAAGCAATTTCACTGGAAAATAAAATCCTGACAGATAACTAATCTTATCAATGCAATTAAATACTACTACGTAAATTAAGAATAAACTCTTGTCTGTATTTAGTAAATAAATAGCTGGATATAAACAGTCATTAACATGCAGGAATAAATGTCTACCTCTGACCAATAGGGGCCTTTTAGCTTAATGATGAGAATTTCTCTCCATGGACCAATTACAAAACAATACTGCACTTGTTCTGTGTCTAAATGTCATCACACTGCAGACTGAGTTCTCTGCACAAACAACCATGTCTTTGTCAAAGAATTATAACTCTGGCCAACATCCAACTTTAAATTTACTATTAAAAATGTGACAAAAAATTTAGACTTACCATCCGTAGGCACCTTTTCATACACATAAATGCACCAGAGAATCGGTAATGTCCATTTATAGTGAAAGATATGGCATACTTGCTGTCTGCTGTAGGAACTGTATAATTGAACACTATGTTTTGTTCTATTCTGTTTTATTTAACTAGTTACTGTTAAGTTAAAACCAAGTGACATTGACTTTCACACACTGAGGCAGAATTTTAAAGTACACAGTTTCTGTTTGGTCATTCATTTTAGTTTAGACATTGTTCTTTCTCTGCATTTTTATCTAAACAGTTGTGCAAAAAAGAAACATTTCAACAGCTAGTGCACATGAAATACATTTTATAAAGAATTTAAGATTGAAAAAACAAATTAAAATCACACAATAACTTGTTGCACATCCCGTCCCCTTCAAAATTAACGCTTCCAAAGAATAATTCCAAGAGCTTACATTTATATCAAGAACAATTTTGTGGTAAGGTAGATAGATCGGTCTCACTAATGAATAGAAATTCTACTATTTAAATGTCAATAGCTGCTGTTTTTAACCTCAGTCAATTCAACAATTTAGTACTCAAAACCAAACAGTTCTAATTAAACAGAAATGGCTTTTCTGAGCATATCTGTATGGACTACAGAGGCACCAATGAATACAAACATTAATGTATGTCAAATCAAATTTAAGGAAGTCACTATTATTTTATCCTTCAAACAATAATCAGATACTTTCAACTACACAATTCTTTTAATGTTAAATGCTACACAAAGCACTTCTGGTACTTGTACTTGTCCAGAGGAAGTCCAGTGGTTAATTCTGCAGCCTCTGGAGCCATGTGTGCTGACCTCAGATTAAATCCCACCCAACCTTCCCATCTCCCCAACTCTCTCTAAATAAATTCATACTGAGAGTGACTGTAAAAAGTCAGTTTAGGGAGTAAAAGATATCATTTTATTGACAAAGCAGTCTTAGAAACTCCCACAGATTTTGGGCCTTGTTTTATGGTTTGGCCAAAACAAGCAAGGAGTGCTGAAGTGTTACAACAGCAGATGTTATGAAACATTTTTGGAGGTACAAAAAGACAAACTAGACTATCTGAAACAGGACAAAGTGTCCTTTTTTTCTCTCTCTGATAAACGCACTGGTGCAACTTTCTCTTTACTCTCACTAAAATTCTTCACTAAATCCCCAACTCTCTCATTGAGCTTTATTCTATGCTGTACCTTAACTTCCAACATAATTTCTTCAATGTTATTAGTCATAACTGCATAACCAATAATCCCTTTACAATATCACATAAACAGTATTCCTTTAGTGAGACCTGACATCTACATTAAGCACTGATCAAAAAAACATGGAATGCACTAGTTGACCCAAGTTTGATAAAGAAATTTTTTAAAAAAGGAAGCGTTAATTCTTTTTAAATGCCTGGTATGCTTTGCTTTTCCGTCCTAAGCACACAATATGTATCTTCTCTAACTATCGTCTAACCTTCCAGTGGCAGCCTATTATCATGCTACATGTTGACATGGGACTCACGTGATTAAACCTGTCCATATAAAGGGCTCCTAGGTTAGTTCACATAATCAAAAATAAATCATAAAATAAAAACAAAAGACTAGATACAGGAACAATCATGGATAATAAGCAAAGCATGCAGGTCTAAAACTTTAGTTTTGATTTATAAAAACCTAGCATTAAAACCAATCACCGCAAGAAATACCTCAACAGTTTGCCAGTGTGTAGATAGGAAGCGATAGTGAGAACACTCAATGCCACAACAGTGCGGCTATCCCAGGGAACGGGGCAGACTCAGCAGTGTCTATTCTCCCCCTTTCTAGGATTACTTGAAAAAACCAAGTCATTTCCAATTCAATGGCTGCAAAACATTAAGACGTACGGTTCCGTTTCTGTTAACAGTATAGAAAACTTTTTTTTGTAACTTATTGTCACTTTCATAAAAGAAAAGGTGACAAAGATTAGATGTCAAAACAGACTATGATATTGTATAGGGTTAATACTGTGACATACAAAGGAAAACATTTCTGTGTATCAGGTAAAATATTTGGAACAGTGAAATGACAGTGAATAACCATTGCAACAGGATGATTGTTAGCATTACACAGTTCAGTACATGATGCTATGCAAATCTAACCCATCTCACTCAGATGCTCAGCTGCTCTAAGCCTCTGTCTCTGCACTACTCTCATCACCGACAGCCTCCAAACACTTTCCTACCTGCTGCTAGCTTACTAATGGACCTCTTTAACACTTTGAGGCTCATGACAAATAATAAAAATCTTATTTTAATGATACTTTTGCTACTAAAAAAATTTTGTTTTAGGGCAATAGAAATTTGAAAATGTTTTTAATGTCAAAGATTGTTTTAACACATCTCAATTACGTTGGAATTTTTTTGTTTTACGACTTTATACGAGAGATTTGTATTTAAATTGCACATGGTTAAGTGAAGTACCTTTTTGCCACATTGAGTGGAATGGATTTTAATTATATTTTGAATGTTTTATATAGGGGAAATTTCCTTTAATTAAGGTATGTAAAGTCTAATGTTGTTACATTTTATTTATGAATTCATATTAGGATTAAATGGTGAGGCAATAAGAGGAAGTGGGCAAATTAAACCAGTTTCTTCATTAAGGCTGGGTAAGACAAAAAGTTCCAGTTTTACCGTCTGATTTCCCACCGGAAAGTTCTTCTCACTTTGAAATGTGACAAAAATATAAGCATCACACTTCCCTCTTCTGTCATTCAAATAGATTTATCCCTTCGTTTGGAACCAGGGCTCTGCAGTGCAAGCGCATGCAAGGAAATATTCCTATGTGTAAATATGTAAAAATGAAATAGGGATATCAGTATGAAGGAAGTGGTTGGGCCATAGGAAACAATATGTATCCAACCATGATACCACAGATGGAGTAAAAACTCAAGCTCCAGTTGACCTCGTGTACATTTCTGCATAGCCGACATTTCATGAAAATGTATAAAAGCCTCTGAGGGTGAAAGCTTTAGTTCATATTTTGGACTCTGAAATGCATCCAAATATTTTAAAACAGATGAGTGGAATCAGGCCCCTGACTCAAAGCCACTGTCAGCAATCAGGTGCTGTTGGGCGATCATTGATCATCTGGGGCTTGTAGCTGTTGTCCGAACACAGTAAGCTCTTTTTTGGCAGCCATTCAGCGAACTGAGTGTGTTGAATAAGTGGTGGGGGCAGATGGTGGAAGAGCTCTCTGAACTGCAGTTCTGCCTAATGAATCAGAGATGGATCTATTTACTGTGGTTTCTCTTCACTGCTTACCTACGTCTCTTCTTTTCTTCTCCAACAAGCAAAAAGGCTGACAATGCCAGTGCAAAGAAGAGTAGTCACAGCTGCAAAGTGCATACAGTTAGACCATCTACTGAATGAATACAGACTACTGACTAATCATTTCCTCTCATGAGGACATTGGCCAGCTGGCCAGACGCCGTCTTTCAAGCAAAACAGAAAAACCCTTTGAGGTGACGCAAAGAGTTTGATCAGAAAACGAGAGCCCTTTATTCAAGAATCTTTTGAAAGGGACTCAGAATTGTTGGCAAAGGGGGTTCCCAGCAAGAAAAAAAACTGTTTAATATCCATATAATTAGTGTGATGCAGCAAATCCTGTTTGTGTGAAGCCAAAAATATTCTAACACCACTGTTGAAGGTTATATTTCAAGTTTTTTTTCCTAACATTTGGAGGTACTGATTTTGATTTGAAAACATGACTATCAATATTCATGTTTCTTATGGATGGCTCTGAAGTTTCAATACAGAATAAATGATTAAACTCCACTTGATAGATCTGGAACTACAACTGGGAACTGGAGTTTATCTATTGAAATACTGGACAAAACAGACTCCATTAAAGTGTATTTATGTGTGTATGTCACTGAGCCAGTGGCAGTGTTTGCCAAAATGCTTTTTGCCTGGTATTCACACACATTACAAGCAAAGACTTAGGAGCCTTAGTTCCTTTGTAGCTTTCGCTTCAATGTAGCAGATTTCCCTTTAGGGTAATCATTGTCGTCTCAGTTTTGTTGTGGATGGCAGTGCAGACGTACTTCTTAGATGTGTGAACCCAAGGAGCTTAAAGCTGTCTTCAGACATGAAACCACACATCAGAGATCTGGTGTTTATTTCATATTCATAAAGCTTAAATAAAGTTTAAGTTCACTTCAAATTGTGATGGCAACTGTACTGGGTTATTTACAGGAAATTATTTACACAAGTGTAATTTATAATGTATATAGTGGATTTGCTGAAATAACATTACTGCAAGTCAAAAATGGGTTGAGCTGTAATTTTACAGCCCAGTTCATACTTGTTTAAATACCAAATTTTCAGAATTTGTCTTGAACTTATGCTACCACTAAAAACAGGATAGTAATTAAACTGCCGTTTGTGATGACTATATAAATATAGCAAATTATACACAACAAATTTTTCATAAAATTATATCCAACACTATGTTTTTCCTGTGTCACTCTATACAATATACATAACACCCTATTTTTCTAGCATATCAACTGTAATTAAAAATGATTGTTTTTGCATATAAAAAGTATCTATTCAATTAGGTTTGTTATGTATGTATGTATGTAAGTATGTATGTATCTTTTTAGACTCTTTATTTCATATGCACGTAATAGGATTATTTTTCTTAGGATTTAGGTGATTTTATTCTCAGCCATATCCTATATTTCTATTATTAATGACTTAATTTTGAACTTAGTTATTTTGTCATGAGCCTCATTCCCACCAAGTGTGCCTCAGTTTCCCTCCCAGTTGTGCCCCACTACATTTCTGGATTATTAAAAAAAATAAAAATAACTTGATAATAAACTAAACTAAATGAAATATCTGTGATCTGCAAGGGGGAAAGAAATCACATATCATTTTCATCATAAACATTATTCATCAGCTGATAACCAAATGCACATTACAAGAAATTAAGCATTTATTAAAAAACACGTCTGCATGAACGCATTGGATTTAATTTGTTAAAATAGCCAAATCAACCAGGGGTTCATATGCCATAGAAAATAAAAGGTTCAACCAAGAGTATAAATCAAATCACCTTGGTCTGACTAATAACAATTGATGTGTCTCAGCTATAACAATCAACTACCCTGCATAAAAATGAAAATGATAATGATTTTCAATTATTTTACTCTGTATTTGCATTTGATGTCACTGGGGCCAAGTAGTCCAATAATAATAATAAAAAATTAAATTAAAGGAAGAGATTATGAAATGTATTATGTTGTTAGGATTATGATATAAAAACCAGAAGTAACTAGAGGCCCAAAGTCGGCAGAACTAAAATGAAACTTCATCGTTCTCTCCTCATTCTAACAAGTGCCTAATAAATAGAGCCAATATTTCATTACGTATCGGATTAACTTTTTCCATTGACATTATTTTCTGAGCTCAAACTTATAGGAGCACATAATGACAATTGTCTCTGATGAGAGGATAAAAACATATAAAAGTTATAGACAAACTGTGCAGCTACAAACTCCCTGGTTGTTTGGGGTCTCTGGACATTAATGGTATCAGAAAAAGGCATACAGCTTGTTGCAAAAAACAAAACTGCAAGTAGAACAATTAATCTGATAAAGAAAAACTGATGAATGTTTGATTAAAATATGCTTTTAATGTTAAATGTTAGCTTCCTAGAATATTAATTATTCTGCTCCAAATGCCGACTTAAATGCATTTGTAACTCAAGCCAAACAAAACAGATTTATGAAATAATATTTATGAAATAAGAGTAACAAGCAGGTCAAAAAGTAAAGTTTGCATATCTGGATAGAATAGCAGTCTGGCAGTAGGTAAATAAAGTGCCCAGTTTACTGAGTTGACTGACTTGAATTAACAACTATAATCTGTTGAGGCAAGTGACACAGTCACTTGGAATTGTTTTATTTCCCTGTGTGTCTTGGACCTAAATTTAAGAAACAGGAAAGATGGGTCGTGTCCCTTATGCCTTTGTTCATGTTCAGGTGCACCAACAGTAACAGAATTTATTCTATAAATGGAAACAAAAGCAGCTGCCAAGTAATAAGGTGTGGCTAAGCACATTATTCATTCACTTCCTGAAACGGGGGGATAATTTCATTATCTAAAAATACATCTTTATATATTCTTTAACCTTGGTAATAACAAGAGCATTCTTTGTATCCTTTAAAATAAATGAGACCAGTAGAAACAGCAGCCAAAATAGTCTTGTCAAAGCTAGGAAACCTTGTTGAGCCTAAAAATGTTAAGTAAGCAGTATGCAAAGTATGTATGACCTATGCCTTTTTTATTTGATGCAACAGCAATATGGCCTTTTCATACTGACATTAGAAGGGCTTCAGAAAAAGAGGCAATGTGCATTTGGTCATCTAGTCAAGCTGTGTATGTAAGACACTAACCAAAACAAATGTTAACAAAGAAAACCACACTCTAGACTTAACAAAGATCATGCAATTTGGCCTACTAGGCTAAGAACAGTTTATCAAACTTTACATTAAGTTGTCCTCATGTACGTGTAATACTTGTGTTGGATTAACAAAGCAGTTAGTTAATGTCAAAAGGCACCATGCAGAGTTAATTATCTACTTTTATTATTACGATGCAGCTCTTCCTCAAGTGACAAAGATAATATCAAAGTGTCTGCTGAATGTAAATAAACGTTTTCTGTAAATCATTCTCTATGAACCAAATATGTCTTTGCTAATATTATTACACACAGAGGGCAACTTAATGCAAATTGTTGCAATGATAAACAACAATTTCAAGGATTAACCAAATGTGTCACATTTTCAAGGGAGCACCACCAACGTGATTAACACTGAACAACGCACCTCATGGTCAAACTGTTTTAAGCTGGAGTGGTTAAAGAATCACAATGAGTTTTGACTTGTAAACTTTAGTATTCTGCAACAAAAGCTACCGTAATCAAAATCAAACTCTTCAGTTAAAATTCCCTGCAATTAATAAACTGCACCACAATCACTGATTAAAAGCCGCAGGAGGAAGAGATTATACGTTCACACAATTCTTTGGCGAACAATTTTAACACCAAAATTGAACACACATTAGCAGGACAATGTGGTCTTTTATTGTATGCATCTTTAAAAGACTACTTCTACACTTGGTTTCGTCTTGTTTGAAAGTTATATTAAATATTAACATGCCCAGCATTGTTTACCATTATACATAGCATACAGCCTAAAGTCATTTTGTGTAAAGTGACCATTTAATAGAGCGGCTTCCATCTGGCAGGGTACTGTACTGACAGTAATAGTAAAAATGTAATGGTCCAAATTACTTTTGAATATATTTTCATGTTTCACAAAGTGATATTTGTTTAATCTAACGTTAAGACCTGTAAAATTAATTTGCAGATCCTCTGACTTTCATTTATTCAACATTGTTGAAAGGAAACCACATTTAAATCTAGCATTTAAAATGTCATCACTGCTCTGATTTGCATTTGGTGGCGATCCCTTGCAAAGGTGTAACTGAGATGTTGGATAGTACAGAGGAAAAGAAATGAAGACACAGATCTGATCACAGGACTTACTCAGCTTTCGCTCCCCGAATCAAGAGAGCGTTGATACACTCCAGACTGCCCGCACGAGCAGCCTTGTGGATGGGCGTCTCGCCCACATAGTCCTGAATGATGACAAAAGACGGCAGTTACACACAGAAAGGCGTGACTGTGGTGTGCACAAGAACAATATTCAGAGGGAAAACATTTGTCTGTTTCATATGCTTTCAATTAAATAACCCCCCACCCCCCAAGCCTCTTTCTACAGTTTCAGGTTTAAAAACAGACTCTGGGAACAATAACAGGGTGAATCTCTGCAGGGCATATCCTGCACTTTTCACCCAGACTTCACTACCGCCCACACACAATTTCAGTTACACATTAGTAAGAGTGCAGGTTGAAGAGAGAGGGGGAGAGATTAAAAAATAAAAAATAAAAAAAGACATACACTAGAAGGCTGTTTCTAACCATAGTGTAATGTGGCCTTTGCTCAAATAATGAGCTATTCTATTCAAAAATCCTCAAATTTACCCAGGTTTTTATTTCAACACATGCGGAGCAAATTCTTAGAAATGTGTTTCATGATGACGACAACATGTTATGTCATCGTGACCTACTAATCTGATTTCTCTCAGCAGTGCAGCGAAGCACAAAATATACCCCCAGTGCAATACATAAAGAGGAAAAGACGAGACGAGCAAAGCGCATAACAGTCTGAGAGCAAGCATCATAAAATGTGATAGATTAACATAACCTGGATAAAAGTCAGGAGGAGGGGCGAGTAGCAACACTACACTGTGAGGGTCGTGACCCCATTTTAGAGTGATCCTCCTTGATGGGATCAGTCTGAGCTCAACCTCTCACACCGCTTTACTCTTCCTACTCACGCATGTGTACCGCAGCCTGTATAGGTTCTCTTTTAAAAGTTAAAAGTTATTTGTTGTCAAATGTTCAGTCACATATTTTCTACAATCCCCAATTTCTACTCAATCCCCCTGTAGCATCGTCAGTACGCTTTGTGAAAGATCAGGTTTACAAGCATCTCTCCAGGAAATGTCGACAAGAAAAAAATCCTGTTAGCTTGGGTGAATTTCAAAGAGCTAAACTGAAGTACTTAACTCCCCGGAGTACAAGTGTAGAGTGTGCATCTGATGTCGTACCTGTCTGTTAATATCTGCACCAGCTTGAAGTAGCCATAACAAACACTCAGGGTGGCCCCCAAATGCAGCAATGTGAGTGGGCGTCTGTGCAAACCTGGAGGTCACCGCATTCACACCACAGCCCACCTGAACCAGACGCATCACACACTCCAACTGTGAAGAGATGAGGGCAATGCAAGTCAGACACATTATAAGATACGTGCAGTGATTCATTCAGGGATTTTTTCAAGGAATAGGCAGGACAGGTATAGACAAGTGTAGTATAGTAAGCTGCTTGCAGACAAAACAATTGTAACACTATTGTGTGGTCTGAATCTTTCTCCCAGTCTGTACAGCTCTTATCGTGGGCATGCATCCAATTCCTGTGCAAACTGTAAGGCCTGCCCTTCCCAAAGTCTGGTTAGTTAGTTAGTTAGTGTAAAACAAATCTTTTGTGTGCGTGTTTGGGAGAGGTCAATAAACAGTTCGTTAGAAATTACTCAATGAACGTTGACTTGGAAGTTGCTTTGAATCAACAACACGTTATTAATATAAAAAGACAAACATTATATAGAAATAAACTGAAAATGAATTACTGACCTTGTCTACAGTTTTGCGCTCATATGTAACTTTGCTTTTAAATGATTTTAACGTTAAGTGTTTGTTCAAATCATAACCGTTATAACGTTAACTAACGTTCATTTATCTCCTAACGTTCCAGCTTCTCCAACCGTTAGCTAACGGCCATTAAGTTAATGTTAAAATATGTTCCCGCTCAATGTAAGCTTCCCGCTAGCAAAACCCCCAGCTTATATGGGCTCTTAAACATACCGAAAATATAATGGACAACCGTACAATTTATGAACAATCCGTTAGCTAAAGAAACATGATCAGTTGTAACGTTTATGGTCCATTGTCTGCCTCCTGCGTTAGTCTCATCAGCTAACAGTTAAAGGCAAACATCAGGAAATGGCCGAGACGAGGCTCATGTCGGAGAGCGTCGGCGTTCATTCTGGGCTCAGTTTCAACGAACTGTTCGTGAAGAAGAGAAAACCGGGTCCGTCAAACACCCGGGCCGGCGAGCTAACCTTTCCAAAATGAGCGCCCCAGTGTATGGGCGTCCAGCCGTAGAAGGTGTCCTCCACGGCGAGGTCAGCCGGGTTTGAGGTGCACTGAAGGAGGGAGCACAAGGCACCGACATCTCCATCCCTGCACGCCCGATGGAGAGGGAAGCGGCTGTTTAAGACCTCCTCACTCGAGAATCCAGACTCCACTCCCACCGACATTGTGGCAAAAAGATAAACGATACCTAACTTACTTTACAACAGAAAACAAAACGGCTAGTTATTGTGTTATCCTGGTCGCTGTCGGGGGGTTGCCTGTGTTTAAGGACACACGCCACCCTAGCTGGTGTGTCTTTCTTTCTGCCTGACAACACAAAGCAGACGGGGCAGAGCACGCGTCGGGCTGAAACTTGAGAAACGCCGAGTGAGCTGCAAACTGTGGACTGGATTTCACATTCCTGACCTTTGTTCTTCCTCCAGGTTTAACCAGGAGGGAGCAGCTTATGGAGGACCACAGGTGTCACAGACATAGTAAACATTAGGGTAATTAACAGCATATAGTTTACTGGGATTTGTCTGTGGGAGGAGATTGGGCAGCTTAATTATAAATGTGAATAATATGTATCCATGTAATTTGCCTTAAAGTCATATATAACTGTACAGTTGTGGTATATTAGCACTACATATTGAAACAGGAGGATACAGAAGATGAAACAATCTGTGAATATTGTGAGTTTAATAAGGTTTCATACCGTCCTTTATATTATGATTTACAACAAATATTGTTTAAAACGTTCATGTTCTTGATTTAGATTTGACAAGCATTGATAATGGAGCTTTAATAGAATATGTTTTTGATAATGTTTTTGCATTTTCTGAATATATTTTTAAAGCACCGGATAGGAGGAGAAAAACAACATATGACTAGTGGATTAAATGGACCGTGGATAGTATTAACGCTGCCTTTTAGTTTTGTTTTTGTTTGTTTTTTGGATTTGTGTATTATGTCTTGTGCTCAGGGGGGCTTTTGTTGCATATGTTGTATTTCTCTTGTGGGATATATATTTTATGTTTGGCTATTGTTTATGTGTTTTGTTGTTAGATGGCTGGTTAACATGAGTGTTTGTATTGTTGTAAGTTCACATGTAAATGTCGGGACACCAAAATACAATTTTAATTCATTCATTAATTCATTCACCAACTAAAAGTACAATAAAATAGACATAATTTATGAATCTATAAATATATTGACAAAATTACAAAGAAATTAATTATTTTATATTTGAATGGCCAATAAAAATAGGTATTATAAGAAGAATGAGGATGGTGGACGTGATCAAATAAAAAATATATAATAAATAAATACAAATATACAAAAAATAAGAGCAGAATATAAGGCATACAAAATAAAATAAAATAATAATAATAAAAAAGAAATAGAATAAAGTAAAAAGGTGACATCATATAAAAGCAAGTCAATAAAAAGGGTTTTAAAATGTGCTTTAAACGGATCAATTCTAAAACGAAGCACACAAATATTACACAAAAATACATTAATGAATTCATAAATAATTAATGGAATTTGAAAATACTGTTTAAAAAGATGAAAAAAAATTACTGGATTCACAAATTGAATTAGGAATACTTGAGGCATTTAGGAGGGCAGTTTCCTTTTTGCATCTACATTTTTCTCTTTGCTTCATCATTTAGCCTCTCCATTTGGCTTTTCACTGACACTTTGTTTCTTGTTCTGGTAAAACGAGAAATATTTACATATTTCTCAATAAATAGTAAATTATTTTTATAATTCCTCTTTTTATTGCCCATATCAAATAATGATTTATTTTATAAATTAAGTATTTTTATTTATAGATTAATAAATTAATTAGTAAACAAATGTATTAATGAGTATTTTAATTGTACAATTAGTTATTTATTCATGAGGTACTTTATTACTTTTTCCATGACACTTGTGGTCCTCCATAGAGGGTGCAGTGTCTGGTATGTCCGATTTTTCCCATCAGTCCGGATCTCCTTAAGAAGCTGAACAAACATCCTCTGTCTCATCCACTTCCACTTTAGTATGCTCTTTAATCCTGCTCCTGTTAGCACTAACCTAACCTTTTTATTTCTTCTATCATCATGTCCGTTGTCTCTGATCCTGTATTCCTGTAACATACAAGCACATCTTCTATAGTTACAATGTTCACAAAGAACTTCCCTATAATGTGAAGTTTGCTATTCAGGTAAATTTGTCCTATTCTTTATCTAGTCATTATTATGTATATATATAAACTGTATGTTTTCATCAGTAATCACTTGAACATTGAACACAAATTGTTGTTTTTTTGTAACCAAAAGCCATTTTTATCTACAGACACTGCGGGTCAACCTCCCATGTTTGCTGACAACTTTTAGGAGCATCCTAAGAACAGCAGTGTGGGGAGAATGGCTTTTCTCCATGCTGCTGAGTTTTAAAGATGCATTCACAGTTTATATGGCCACCAGGGGGCAGAAGAACTTCATAAAACAGCTGGTAGATGCAGCACAGACAAGCTGGTTTACCAACCAGGAAATTCACAGGTTCTGTGTCAACTTGTCTGTGCTTATTTAGTTAAACTGTGTTTGGGAATATCCATCACTGAAATACTGGAATGCGCTGACACAATAAGGGCTTCCACATGCCCATACAATGAAAGCACTGTTGGTCACTTTAATTGTTACACACACACACACACACACACACACACACACACACACACACACACACACACATATATGTACACTAGCTCCAAAGAGATCTCTTCTCAAATGAATTTCCTTTTATGTGTTTAAAAATGAATTCTTAAGTTAAAAAAAACTAACACGAGGCTTCAGCTTTCTGAGTTCGACAAATCAAGTGGATATCTTCCCAAGTTAGCATTTTCAGTACAAAGTTAAATATTTATTTTACTATCTCTCCACCATGGCTCAGCAGGGACACAATGTGGAAACACAAAGAACATTTGGTACTAAAAAGATTGTAACTTTGGAAGATGCCCATTTAATTGCTTAATTTTTAAACAACACAAGACTGTGGATTTTGTCCCTCTTCTCTTGCATTAAAATAAGTGTCAGAAGGTTGAACCAGAGTCATCTGCAGCCCATAATCCACTTACAGTTTCAGTCAGACTCATCCGCTGACACTGAGGAAGAATATTTACTATTGCCTTAAGTCTCACTGAGAAAACTGAAGTAGTATTTAAAGTGTTATGTTTCTTCTTTACCACAAGATGGGAATATACAACCAAAAATGGACAACTGCAACTACTGTTATTTATATGTTTTTGCATCCAAATGAGCACAAACAAGTATTATTTCTGCACACTATAGGGAGACATTGACCGCAGTATGGTCACCTTCACCGTATGATGTAGTGGTGATTACCGTCCGGAGCCATAAGAAGCCAATTATGGTTCAATAACCAATCAATATCATTTTAGTTCAGACCAGTAGTAGTCTTAAATTTAGTTCTGATGTATATGCTAGGCTATATGAATGAAGAAAGCCCCGCAGACATAATTATTACTATAATCATTATTATCTTAATATATAACATATTATCAGCCGCAGTGTCACAGTATCATCATATATCTGCACACACAGATTCCTTTGTCCTGTTTAGTTACTCCGAAGGGCCAACCATCCACCCAGACATTTTTTTTAAACTTACAACCTTGGGTGGGCTGCAGTGTATCCCAGCATGCACCAAGTGGGCTCCAGAGCTGTTTTTTGTTATGAGAAAGACTTTGGAATGAAGAGAATGTTAATGAACCTGAAGTGCGTCATACTTATATCACTGTGATGATGTCATGCTCCACTTCAATGGCATACCATTTTAAAATGATGTGGGAGGCCCTTCATTACCCAGTTTTCCCAAGTCACCTCCTTAACCTCTCTCCAGCATGTGACATCTCGGTCAGTGTGGTTTTGAACACTCATTAGTACGAGATAAGTCAGCCGTATGCAGCTTTTTTGAGGAGCTGGGGTCATTCTTTTTTTAAATGTACCCATCTCCTTTTACGCTGTATGTCCACATATGTACCAATAAAACAATATAACGTCAGGAAGAAGAGGCAGGGTGGAGAATTACTAGAGTTCAGTCCTATTTCAGGTCTTTCAGTGGCTCCAATAATGTTAGAAAGGGTGATCAGCTTAAGCTGCCAGTATGCTTGTCAGATGACTGAATAGCGTCACAAACCTCTTCCAACACACTGTTGATGACTGTGACGATGAATTGGAGGGGGCTGTGTCCAACTATTTCTGTTTGAACTACTCTCTATAGATCTCTTTTTTTCATTGTTCACAGCACTATTCAACCCTATGAATGTCTACCAGGAGAGACTGTCTGCTGCTCTCTATGACGTCCAGCTTTTCACTGGGAGTCGATCACCTATAAATACTTTTTATTTCCGATGTGTTCATACAACAAACTAGTTCTGTTCATGCATAACCCGACCCGTAATGTCTTTTTAAATGATTGTTGGACCTACAATGGGCAGCTTATGAAAGTATAGACCTACATGAGAGCTTTGTCCCAAATCCATACAACATACTGAATCTATACAGCAGGTGCTACATCCTAATAATCAGAGTGGAGGCTAATGTTTTAGCAGTAAGTGTTCACAAATATCGACATACAATATTATACTAAAAGGAAATTATACATAATGCGTGACGTTAGTTAACAATCAAACTACCACTCTGCAAGTCGATCCCAAATAAACTTCACAAATGGACATCGAAATGTTTTATTTAATCTTAATTCTTATTTTTATTTGTTTTCCCAATATTCTTTTAGTTAACTTTAGCTCTTTAGTAATAACACACTACTAGAAACCTGCTCACACTCAGTGTGTAATATGGATTTGGGATGCAGCATATGTCTTTCTCTCTCTGTCCAGCAGAGGGCACTTTAAAAGAAAGCCAAATGTGAGGCTTCATTTAAAGCTCCATTTATCTTAGCTTACCACAGCACATGATCACTGTTGTGATTGAAAAATGTAACAGCAACCACAAATTAGATTAAATACTAAAATACATCCTAGTGTTTTACTGTAATGACATTTGTAATTATAAGGGAGTCCTATCAGTCTTGAGAAACACAGTCATTTAATAATTCATTTTAACTTTCCTCTGTTGTCAGAAGAACACTTTAAGAAGTTGTAGTAGTATTAGCGGTGCTGCAACTAAATTATTTAAAAAATATAGAGATTTTTACTAGAAAAAAACAAATAAGTGTGAATCACAATAGTAATCTGACTTGTGCATTATTAAAGGAGAGTGAAATGCTGTGCAGTTATGCAGGATTATTCCGTGGTCTGGGTAATGTCTTCAGGAACATC